GAAGAGCAGAGTTTGCGTGAGACGATATAACCAGTGATGCATGACAATCGCGCTCGTGTCCTTGTGACATGCACGTGCAACATGCTACCCTCGAGGATCGCACAAAGCAGTATGGCCCAACTGTATTTGTGGGTATCTAACGTTGACTGAAACGGCCATTCAAGCATATTCATTGAACATGGCAAGGAGGCGATTTGTCAATTGACACTAGGAATCAGATTATTGGTATGCACGCCGCAGGAATGTCCTTTAAGGCGATTGGACGAAATCTGGGCTACCATTACACCGTTCTTAGCCTTTTAGTCCGGAAATATGCGCAGACCGGAAGTGCAGTGGACCGTCCAAGGTCTGGAAGGCCTCCTGTGACTACACCGCGTGAACACAGACAACTGATACGACATGCACGCCCAGAACTCTTCAGTACAAGTCCTCAGCTGAAAAAACTGTGGTTACCCAATCGACCCATCAGCACCAGAACAGTCCGAAATCGTCCCAAAGCAGCAGGATTGAAGGCCAGGAGAGTAATTAAACGTCCCTTGTTGAGAGACCACCATAAACGTGCACGTTTGGCATGGTGCTTGGCCAAACGACACTGGAATCTGAGGACCTGGAGGAAAATCCATTAGTCGGACGAAAGCCGCTTCTTACTTCATGTTACTGATGGATGTACACGTGTTTGGAGGCATAAGAACACAGCTTATACCCCCAGGAACATTCTGCCAACTGTTGCCTATGGAGGGGGATCTGTCATGGTGTAGGGATGCCTCTCTCATGATTGCAAGATGGATTTGGTCACCATCAGGGGCAACTTAACGGGAGCTCAGTACATCCGGGACGTCCTACAGCCAGCCCTTATTTCGATAACCATCAACTTGCCACACGACCTCAGTACATGGACGACAACGCCAGACCTCGTCGATCACGTGCCGTAGTGGATTACATGAGAACAATCCAGTGACAACTCTACCCTTGCCAGCGTTAAGACCAGATCTGAACCCTCTGGCATTATTGGGCGGCGAATCCAGGCACGGAACCCTCCAGTACAGAATTTACATCAGTTGGAGGCAGTCCTGCATGCTGAGTGGTTGTTATTGACCAGAGAACAGATCCGACGTCTGACTGGAAGCATAAGACGTAGGGTGGAATGTGTCATGTGGGTACGTGGCGGATCCACCCAGTACTGATTAGTCTCACTGAACTACGTACACTAGTGTCTTCAAGGATCATTTTCCTTTGACAATATCAATGTCAACACCCTTTCATTGACTTGCAGCTCCATACTTTTTGGGGGTTTGTTTCGGGGTAAAAACAGTACCTGTGATAACATGAAGTAATCGCTATTAACCACAGCTAACCGATGTTGCGTTTCTGTCTTGCCAGATGGTTGTGCTATCAGATGGCATTTGCATGTCCGAGCATTTAGGGCCATTGCGAACCTGACATGTTTTTTGCCATTTGGCATTGTGAAAATATCAGGGGGTGCTTAACTTTTGTTTATATATTCAGAAACTAAGCGTTTGGCTATCAGAATGCGAGCAGGGCCTGCGTTGGCGTTATTGCACCTCGACGAAATCGACTTCAACGGCTCCAGTGGTGTCGATTACATCATCAGCGCTGGTGAAGCGCTTACAATCCCGTATGATTCTTCGGCGGAAAGATAACGGATTTGTGATATTGGCGACGGAATTTTCATTGTTCCAGATGTTGCGTACAATACGTTGACAGATTCGGAGGATAAAGCTTCTCATGATACAGGAATGCGTGAGCGAAGGAAATATCTGTTTATCTATTTGTCCTTATGTTGGTGGTGGTGTCATTTTCCATCGTGACAATGACCGTCACCACTCAATACTGATCGGAACTGATTTCCGGAGAGATCAGGTTATAACGTACTGCCGTAGCCGTCGAGGTCACCGGATCTTGCCCAAAGAGCATCCGTTGGATGAAGTAGACAGACTGTCACGTCAACCAACACCACAGAATCTGAATCAACTTCGCCATCGGGCTGTCTTTGCACAAAGTGTCATTCACAGACCTTTTGGTTCCACAGGCATGAGGTGTCGCGTAGGCATCCAGGTCCATGACGAGTACGACGCCTTACGACGGCCATGCTTGACACAGTGAGTGAGTGAGTGAATTTAGTTCTTCGTCGCTTTTAGCAATATTCCAGCAATATCACAGCGGGGGACACCAGAAATGGGCTTCACAGATTGTACGCATAGATTGAAACAATGATTTGATCGGCCCACACAAAGACTTCTCCGTTATTTTTTTACGAACTCATTTTCACTTCGTAATCTTTAAAACACGCCTTAAGTTTCGCCTTTAAAACCATAAAAGTAACTGAATGTGCAAAATCTTTTATGGGAGTTTATATTTTCGATGTACTTGCGTCATGAAATAATAACGCCTAGAGACATCGCGGGTTTTGTTTAAATTAACGAAATTAATTTGGTTTCAGATGGTCAAGATCATTAATATTTCACATGTCTTTAGGGACGCGTTTGGAACTGTGGGAATTTTTTCTACCGAATCAATAAAAAGTTAATTAACTTTTTGTTATGATACGCGATACCAATGAAAGAACACTTCAAGGATAGAATTAACAAATTTCCCTCCACTATCATATATTTGCCATTACAAACAGTATATTTTCGGAAAACATTCATATAAGAATTGCCCACTTAGTCCATTACGATGACAATACAATCAATGAAAGTATTTGTTCGAAATGTGAATGAGAGAGCGAGTTTACATTTACGATGTATCAGCAGTTATTTTAGCCAGTTATGGATGAGAACAAGTATAATATGAACAGAATTGTATCATAAGTACAAACTTGTATGATGTTGTTGCATTTCAGCCCTGGCAAAGAAATCCAGCAAACTACCAAACTGTTTAATGTGTACACACCTGCAGTAGAAACTGACGCAATAATTACAAGATGAAACTAACATCCAACACTGCATCGAAAAGTGAGTGTGTGAATGAGTGAGTTTAGTTTTACGCCGCACTCCGCAATATTCAGCTATATGGCGGCGGTCTGTAAATAATCGAGTCTGGACCAGACAATCCAGTGATCAACAGCATGAGCATCGATCTACGCAATTGGGAACCGATGACATGCGTCAACAAAGTCAGCGAGCCTGACCACCCGATCCCGTTAGTCGCCTCTTATGACAAGCATGGGTTACTGAAGATCAATGTATCGAAAAGACGGAACCCCTGGACATTTACAATGAAACGTTGCATATCAAACCAAACATTGTATAACCATTTGTGGTCCGATATGTAAAGTGTGTTCATATCCCATAGTTTGGTGAGTTAGTGATTGAGTGAGTATGGTTTTACACCGCTTTTAGCAATATTCCAGCAATATCACGGCGGGGAACACCATTTAATGGGCTTCACACATTGTACCCATGTGGAGAATCAAACCCGGGTCTTCGGCGTGACGAGCGGACGCTTTAACCATTAGGCTACGGCACCGTCCCCCTTAATTTGGTTTCTCTGTTTTTAACGACTGTTTCAACAAGATTCAGTTACCATGGCGGCGCAACTTACAGCGGATCCTGGAGGGAAGGCCAAAGCAGGATACGGTGACTATTTGGTGAAACCAACAACCATGGTGCCGACCATAGCTCCTGATGGAAAGCGTGCCTGGGATTCGAACCCACGACTCGTAAATCCTATTAAAGTAAGAGTCAGAGTTGTTAGTGTGTTTCATGAGACAAAACATCCCAAGTAAACATTTAAGTCCCTCTAAATAATATAGATACTATTCTTTGACGAAACCTTGTTTCTTCTTCATGCGTTGAATAGTCGGGTTACAACATTTTTCTACGATAAATATTACAGATATGGAACAGCGCTTCAACCTAAAACCATATTTCATTAAATATTTAGAAATGAGATTCTTAAATGACAAACGATCTCACAGACATAAGAGCCAAGGATGAATCAAAACCCAAACACACACTTGTATGAAATACGGTAAGGTTATCAGGCATTGACGGACAATTAAGCAAGTATCTCAATTTTTAAAACTTTTATAAATAATCCGTCAAACTTTTTCACCGGCGGTCTCTGACGGTTTGGACATAATTCCGCAAGACTCCCTGCAAAACCGGTGTGAAACGAGCGAGGGGAAAAGAGGGTTGATGGGCTCGACTGCAGGGTCGACTCCAGCGATACCTCCACACGTCACCGTGCAAGAAGTGCGAGAACACCACCGTCAGATGCCCGTCCGCAGATGAAACCCTGAATTATTTATGTTCTAATCTAAAATTGCCCAATTCGTTCAAGACAAAATCACCTTGCCTGCGGCTCTATCTTAATTAGCTAGGAGAACTCGCTTCATGACTAGTTTCATCTGATTTACGACAAGAAATAACATCACACTTTGAACAGAAGCGGGAGCGGTATGAAGGCCATTCCACAATTTCGTGACTACAACGTGAAAGGGGTAGGGGGGAGTGTAGTGGGGGTGGGGGGAAAACGCGGGAGGGGCAGCGTGGAGGGTGAAGTAGGGCGATGTTAGGTAGTGCGCGCGTTACAACGTGGCGTAAGACCGGGAACTAGGTGCCAGAACGAGATTAGAGATAAGTGTTGGGGTTTTAAACCAATGAAGAGGTTTCTTATATGTCCGAAAGAAATATTGTGGAAAGGACGATCAGAACGCTAAGAATAGCCAAAGTTGAAATGAAAATATGAGTATAAAAAAATTATTTAAAAAGAAATTTTGTTCCATATTATGTCCTCCCGTTTTAAATGAAAGATTTAACACACAAGTCCCCAAACTACAAACATCTCGTACTTCTGTAAACGAAATAGATACTGTATAACCAAAGTTGATTGCTTTACAATTAATATTTGATTATTATAAACTGTCTATGTGCTCTTGAGTGTCGAAGTTTCGACATACTCGAAAGCACGACCTCCAGATCGGTTGTTTAATTTACTACTAAAAAAAAAGTTTAAAAATACTCGACTCGTACATATTACTCAAGGCTAGATATTTAATGGATGACAACTTTTCATTCTACTATGGATTGGTATAGAGCTTTATACGGTTGTCAAGCAAACTTGAAGATACGCGGTACAGACTAACAACATGAAATACGGATTAAAGGCGTGCACAGAAGGGATTAACAACAAAGGATAATGATTGATTGATCTCGTGACAACAAAAAGAAGCCAGCTGTATAAGACAGGATACAAAATATACAGAGCTGATAGGATTAATTAGAGATGATAGCTGGAGTGTTCTGTTGTTTTATCAAATCATTGTAGGCAGATGAGATGAGTGTCTTTGATCTCTGTTGATTGAGAGAGGGTTTGAAATGCTTGTCTTGGTTTTCGCTTGTTGACGTGATGGAGGTTGCTTGATAGAATTTGAACATTGTCCGTCATGACGTTGTGACTGAGTGTGTAGTTGATGACGTCGTCTGAGATGGCTGATTGTTGGTCTGACGAGGTGGCAGATACTTCTGTCATGAATCTGTAACATGGGAGGCGATCGTTCTTAACGTTTTTTTATGTAGCATATTCAAAAGACGATTACCTTAATTAATACATTATATTATGGATTAAACGTTCTCAGTCAAGTACACATTCTAGTGCTATTTGAGGGTTGGGTCCCATACTGGACTTGAACTCAGGCTGAGACACCTAATCGCCAGCACACTAAGTCAGCGATCTAACCCACTCAGCCACCAAGCTTCCACAGAAAATGGAAGTCTGACAACTGGTAGTCTAGACCACGTACTATTTGTACCCCTCTGACAAGTGCAAATTGGTACGGCTCCCATGCCCGAAAGCTATGAATTCATAATACATTTTAGAAAGTGGTCTAATGAAACATATGTTATTTTTGAGACAACACTTTCTAAATAAAGTACAGATTCTAGTACCTTTCAGGGGGTTGAGTCCATACGTGATTCGAACCCACACTCTCAGGGTGAGGAACGGAAAGGCCAGCACACAACAGTGATTTAACCCACTTAGCCACCGAAGCTGGCGATTGTTGAAGTTAATCTGTCATGAATCTGTAACATGAAAAAAAGGACGGGGTTGTCCATAACATCTTTTGAGATCTGTCTATCATTGGAGAAAAGTAGCTCTTTAACGATAAATGCCTCGATTTTCTTAACCTATTGAAGCAAAAAATTACGTAATATTTAAATTAGAAGCCGAAATGAAGTAAATACACTGCCTGAAGAAGTATTTTAACACTAAAGTATGTTAATGTTCGTCCATCTATATTTTAGGGTAATGGTTCACAATTTTGTGAAAGGAAAAAACTTATTCCGGCATTTTTTTTCCAAATAAAATGCCTTCTTCACTCTTGACCGAAGGTTTGTTTGGTTGGTTGTTTTTAACGCCGAAGTTAGCAACATTTCAGATATATGACATTTGTTTGAAAATAATCGAGTCTGGACCAGACAATCAATTGATTGACATCTGCATCTAATAAACGCCTCTACCAACTCAGTGTGCCTGTAGTGCGTAATTTATCCTGTTAGTCGTCTCCTACGACAAGCATTGGTTGCTGAAGACCAGTTCTAACCCGGAAATTCACGGGTCGGTTAAAATGGAAAGTATGGACACTTTGGGATAATCTTGTAAAACATTCAACCACTATTCACATCAAACATTACCTCAATATATTACAAGTTGTTAAAATATTGAGGAAGATGTTAGCACTGTGCATATTCAAACTTTGGAATAGTCGTGTTTTTTACATGAAAAACCAACATCCATCAAATACTCGACACGTGCAAAAACCGAATATGTCATATGTAACGGAGTCAGTATAATCAGTTGAGTGTTAAAACTGTGGTATCGTATCTCAGGGGAATAACAGATAAAATCGGCGTCCAGTACAGGCTGCTAAAGTTGACGCTCACACGTTTACACGCGCGCATACACGCACGTACGCAGGCGTGCACGTGAAAGGATATTTTGACGTGTTTGATTACTTCCGGTGACCCAGTTCTGACCAGAAGTGACATAACGCCATTGGAATGGCGGCCATCTGTCAGAAGCGAAGAAGGAAAATAAGTATGGATTTCAATAATATTATGGACAAGACAAATTATCAGTAATATTTTTAAGTGGCCTACAACAGCCGGCATTATAGCGAGAGCCTTCGAAGATGATGCTTCCTGCCATCTGTCAGTTGATCCTGGGTCCACGTGCACCGCATGCTTCTCTCAACAATCCCGTGCGGAGCTGACAGGTCCTTGTCGACGCTTGAAAGAGCACCACTTGCCGCGAGGTGGAGCTGTTCGACCTTGACATTTCGATTTACCTAGCCGCAAGGTGCATGGGATCCGATACTGGCATTCATTGTGTGAATTATTTTTAAATGGTTAAGATTTCCCGAAGTTGTTAACATTTTATTATGCTTCGTCGTTGTGGTTGCTTTATCACCTATTGGAACCATTTTCAAATATGATAAATTGTTTCCCGAGATGGTTAGCACAGCAAGTTTTGTTTGCGCTTTAAACTTGGTATTTTTAGGGACCGTTCATATAATGGTGATGGGAATTTTAAGGGGAGGGTGGGGGTACATATGTACTTGGGGGTCGTCATTGATTTTGTACATGACATTCACGGGGGTCTCTTGTTTTGTACATAAATGTTAGGAAGGGTCACTCACATTGTACATGCTTCTCCATAAAATCATCATCCCCCTTGCTATAAATCATGAACGGTCCCTTAGTAGACAGGAGCCCAGTGAACACAAGGTAGTAATTATTCAAGACTATCTCCCAAACATTAAATTGTTTCAAGAACAGTCCAAGAAGACACATCGTGATTACTTGCCTTTTTAAAAAAAAAAAAAAAAAAAACCCCAACAAAATAAGTGAATGGGATAAGTTACTATATATACCAACATGCGCGGATCCAGGAGCGGGGAGGTGCGCCCCCAAGAGTGTTCCAAATGTACTACATGTTTTATGCCCAGGGTTCCGAGGATTGGGGTGCACCCCACCCCCACCCCAAACGAAAATCCTGTATCCGCCCCTGTACCGACGACGCATCGAAACGTGTTTTGAAAATTTATAGTACGTTACATATATCACCCACATTGTTCCAAGTGCTTGAACCCTGAAGAGTGGTACCTCAGTGTGTGATGCTGATAAAAACAGTTATACATAATCATGTAATTCGGCTCGAGGCGTTGGTCGGTAAAAAGGGAAAATGAATGCTATTCGGTGGTGCGCCTTACCGTTGTCAAGTAATCTCTGAGACTGGATACAATACGATAATTGAATAAGAGCAGTTACTTAAAGTTGACTGGTTTCTTCGCTCCGTGACGATAGGTACAGTTGCTACTGCAGAGGCTGACAGAGACGGTGGGATTTGACGTGGTGGACAAAAGTGTTATTTGAGTAAATCCAGTTGCGTTCAGATTATATTCCTATGTTTGTCAGCACTGTGGTTACTTCGGGCTCCCCTCCCACATGAAGCAGACACTCTTTGATTTAACTGGAATATTAATATTGTACGTTAATCAATTCGTTCATAGACCCGTGAAGATCCGGGTTAGAATTGATCTTCAGCAACCCATGCTTGTTGTAGGAGGCCACTAACGGGATCGAGTGGTCAGGTTCTCTGACTTGGTTGATACGTGTCATCGTATCCCCATTGCGTAGACCGATGTTCATGCTGTTGATCACTGGATTGTCTGACCCAGACTCGATTATTTACAGACCGCCGTCATATAGCTGGGATATTGCTGAGTGCGGCATAAAACTAAACTCACTCACACACTCATTTATATGTGAATAGTTCTTGTTCTAAGAGTAAAGCTCTTCAAATATTCCGTGTTGGTTCAGGAAGATTTGCAAAAATGTCAAGTGTTTGTTGTGTACATATCAAACTAGATTCCGGTGTCTATTACTGTTTGGGACACGGGTTCGATTCCCCACATGGGTACAATGTGTTAAGCCCATTTCTGGTGTCCCCCGGTGTGATATTGCTGGAATATTGTTAAAAGCGGGGTGAACCATACTCACTCGCACACTCACTATTACTGTGTGGGCAAATCTCACCGCCTTTCTTTAGTAATAAAAATGGCGGTTACCTGTATGATATTATTATCTTTATAAACAACATGCGTATGTTGAAAGGGCGAGGGTGGACGGTGATTTGTGTTTGTTTGTGTTTACATTCAAGTGATGAGCGACAGATCAAATTGAGCATGCACATATTAATCAAATGTCAGTTTGGAAAGAGGCATTTCACATACGGCTGGGCCTTTCGATCAAGGTTGCAACAAGGTCAGTCACGTCAATTAAAGTAGATAATGCATTTCTCTCAATAATACTATCAGCCCTCATGGAAGCTACCATATAATTTATTCCTCCCAAAAGTACGTATTTAGATTACAATATTAAATTGAAAAGTTCAAATGAATTAATGCAACGTTGCATTGAAACCAGTTCAGCAACACTGACAACACTGTGTGCGACAGTTTTCGATGTACGGAGCAATTGTTTACATTCAATAAATGGCAAGAGTTCTGTATTTGGAAGCTGTCGCCTCGAAGTTTCAATTATTGATTTCAGGAAAGTCGTAAGGGATAGTGAGTCTTTTATAAAAGCTAAAGTGGGTGCATATGTCCCAGTATGTATAATAAAGGCCAAAATATTGTCGAAATGTGTGACATTGTGTTTATAAGTTAGAAATGTTTTGTGGACATTCAGAGGACGTCAGTACATGTCACGCGTTGTTTGTTAGCATCATTTGCGATGGCAGTCTATACCTCGTACTCACTGCTGCTTCAGTGCATCAGGGGTGGTGGGGTAGCCTAGTGGTTAAAGCGTTTGCTCGTCACGCTGAAGGCCCGGGTTCGTTTCTCCACGTGGATACTGTCACTCTCCTACCCAGAGCTCCATGCGGCCACCCAGCATAGTACCTCTGCCACAGGCCAGAAAAATGTGACGATTCGTCACATCTTGCACCGTCCATTCAATATAATGTACAAATTTCTTTTTACTCTTTTATTTTTGACGAGTCTACACATCTAACTAAACATCTTTAATAGAATGAATTAGTTTCACTGAGAAAATATCCAAAAACATGAAACACTATTTCGATTTGCGTAGCGATCCTTTGTTTACATAGGTTGTACGGCTCCACGTGCTGTCATCGAAGCCGACGGAGAGCAAACGATGCAGCCAGTTTGATATCTAAATATGTACTGTCATAGACCTAACTGTCGCAGTTGTGGAAGAATATATATGTAACAATGTAAAACATTATGAAGAGAGCGCCGAAAAGCTTTCGTGAGTCTAGTCTCTTCTTATTATGAATATGTGCGTTTGATTACAAACAAGAAAAAAGTCCGGTCACGTGAAATGCAAATTAGCCTGTGGCAGTGATGTTATCGAAGTCATCGCTGTGCGGGAGTGTGTGGTGGGGTACTGTGTGAAGCCCATTTCAGGTGTCTGGTTAAAACCAGAGTGTTTACAGGCAGCCGTTGTATGTCAGGCACGTTGCTGCGTGAGGGGGTGGGCAGAAACAAACACGTTCGATTCTATGTTCCTTTCTAACAGTTGTGAGTGTGAGGGGTGGTACCGGTAGAGCAGAACACGTTACCCCACACCCTCACCCCATCCACGCGAAGTCCTTACTGATTTCAGTCATCCATTCATACAATTTTCATCACTATTTTGCCTTTTACGCCCAATGGATTCTGTTTCGGCGGATAAGCGAGACTGATCATTATTCTCTGGCTTTCCCCTTATCAAAGAGGAGGCCGACATTACAATACATAGCAATCACTCAGCTGAACAAATCGTAGCTAAATACTGCTCCGTTAAAGGTACTACCCGACATATACACATCGTTAAAGGGGGACCCCTCAACTGCCTGTTGCCGCTGTTATGTCGAAACCATGAATTACTGAGGCAATGACGCCTTTGATTGCTTCGACCCCGATGCTGTTTCTTTGTTTGTTTCAGGCCGTCCTCATCAATATTTCAGTATATGGCGGTGGTCTTTGAATAATCAAATCTGAACCAAACAATCAAGAGATTAACATCTGGATTACGGTTACCTGCATTAACCAAGTCAGCGAGCCTGGCAACCTGATCCCGTTAGTCGCCTCCAAATACAATCATGGGATGCTGGAGATCACTTCTCACCTGGATCTTCAAGAGTCGCGACCTAGATGAACCTGCGCTGACCAGGTATAACCCAATTTACCTTCGTTGACCAGTGTTACCGTTATCTGAGCTGTACTTTGCGTGACCAAAGTTGTCCGTACCCGTTGAACTCCTGGGGCGCGGCACTCCAAGTGACGTCATCAGTAAAGTTGATTAGTTTCATTTGTTGATTCAGTCACGAATGAAAGAATATAAATAACTAAGTATTGATAGTATGAATTCAGATATTTGTTAGGGATGTTTTACTTAGGATTGATGATATTACTCAATACTCATTATTGTAACAGTAGATATTTTGCATTCCTGTGTGATGTCTGATGAGATGTTTGATCGTTGTTTTCGTTTTACATGCATTACAACGGAAAACATACAGTGGTAGCTTAGTCAAGCAAAGTTACACTTGCTTACCTCTCTTATTTTTTAGTTGTGGTTTGTTTTCAATACACGCGACTGTCGCGTTTCTCTTTTTCCTGACTGTTATACGAGTGAGTGAGTTTGGTTTTACGCTGCTTTTAGCAATACTCCAGCAATACCACGGCGGGGACACCAGTCGGGCTTCACACATTGTACCCATGTGGGGAATCGAACCCGGGCCTTCGGTGTGACGAGCGAACGCTTTAACCACTAGGCTACCCCACTGCCCCGACTGTTATATGAAGGCGAGACACTTGATGTTGGAGGAAAGCCTTAAGTGATTCATTTTTAGACAATCATCACTTTAATCAAATCCACGACCATGGTGCTGACAAACCTAGAAATATAATTGGAGGTAACCGAATTCGAACCCACGATGATAGGTATCTGTTCTGTCCAAGGGACGCAAATCTTTACAGCAAATTGCGGCGCCTCACAAAACTCTGCCACCACCACCCAAGACAAAACTACAAGCCAGTGCAACATGAGCGGCAAGTGGTGGTAGAGATGGGTTTCTAACGTTGAGCACACAGCCAGCAAGTGCTTGCGATGACAACTCAGGAGAGTTTATTTCCGTAAAGAAACCAAGCCAGGCTAATGTGTGAAAGAGAATTGGAAGAGGAACATCATCTTTTCCGAGTGACAGTGCTGTTGATAGATAGTACAAGCCTGGAGCAATGAAAGAG